GGAAATAAACGTAAATGTAAGTAAGTAGAACGAACTATTCGGTTTTTTTATTCTAGTAATTTAATCGCGTAATTACATTTCGAGATTTTCAAATATATAAACGGACGAGGAAAACGAGGGGAAATTGTAATAATTTTGTTGCCTCGTGATAATGATTTAAAACTTATTTTTATCACATGGAACGTGACGACGCGCGATTTGTTAGATTAAACGGGCTATTTAGCATAATGATGGCAGGTGTTAATGTATAATCGATAACGAGGGAACGAGTCGCAAGATATTCAATATCGAAAGATATTAATCAATTGACCGGGTTATAGTGTTTAATTTGCTGTATCGATAAAAGAGTATCTCCTTGTTAATAATTTCGATAATTAAAATTTCTAAAAGCCGTATTCCAATCCGTAATCGATTACAACGTGTAACGATTCTTTATCACGTGCGAGCTGTACAGGAAAATTTATCACTCCACGTATTAATAAATAACAATCCATACTGCATTAATTGATCATAATTTCCATCCAACCGAACGAACGTTTTGCAAGGATGTGAATAGATATATATGTGTGTGTGTGTGCAATTGATATTTAGATAATTTGTAATATTTCGATTATAATCGATGTTTTTTTTTATACATATATTATATATATATTATACCTTACAATTTAATTAAAACAAATTGATTAACGTTACTTTTTACAAGTTTTTAATTTCCATCATTTTTTAATTAAATATTTTTAAAATATTTATTTTCACAAAATAAAAATTAATTTTCAATTTTCTTCCTCGTTTTTTTTTCTTTTTTTTAATTAAATATTGTATTTTCAAAATATTTATTTAAAAATGTTAGTAAATTTTTTATCAAATACACGTACAACGTTGAAGAGAGAGAGAGAGAGAGAGAGAGTATATGCGAGAGATTAATGAAAGCGTGTATAATGGTTTGCACTTACACGGAATACAAATGCTATTAGATAAGTCGTTACGTTGTTAGTTTGACAGAATGACGCTTCAACACTTTCAACCGCATGAATGACAAATGACATTCGGCCGTTTTAGATCGTGTTAACTGTTGTTAATCAAGCAACAAGCTTTCTAAAATATTTCACCTATTAATCACTATTATGAATGGTATGGCAATTCAATCAACGTGTATAACCCTGTATAAAAATACGTAATGGGGGACGTTGTTGTAATTAAAGATGACCGATCACTTTTCCCTTCGGAAATGATTAATAATCAACATTTTCGATGTTATAAAAATATCAGAGGGGGAGGGGAAAAAATTCGAATCGATAGAGGAGTCGATCGAGCAAGCTCAAATTTGGATGATCATAATAATGATAATAATAATCGTCTCACGGCACGGGATGGAATACGAACGGAAAGTATAGTAAATATCGGGAATCGTAAAAATCCTTGAAATTCTCCTGGCGAAAACTTTGAAACTTTTAAAAACTCTCGAATGTAGCGGACATTTCGAAAGTCTTATAACTTTTGATGGGCCAGAAATCCTTGAAATGACATGCCAATAAAATCAAAGTGCCTTTTTAAAAAGTTCCCTTAAATGAATATATATATATTTCAAATAATAATCGAAAACGAGGAAAATACAAGAATAAGTATTCATCTATCGCTGCTAATAGGATTAATTCATCACCGATAAACATCGCTTTGAAACGAATCAATCTATCTAATTATGCATATTCCACATATATTCCGCATTATAGTTCTATTTATATGATAATATCCAGTTTATCGGATTACGTTTTAATTCGTACGTATTTTGGTTCAACGATTTTTGGAGATTATAGATAGAAAAGCATTTCGACGAGCATTTCGTGTTTCAAATTAAAAGAATTAAAAATGGAAGAAAAAACAATCTCGATGACGTGAAATGGTGAGAAAGAGAGAGGGGATCGAAGCGAGAAAGAGTGACGATACGGAGAGCATTTCGTAAAAGCGAAGAGAAGTGAGAAGAAAAGAAGTTGGGAGGAGGTGGGGAGGTGTAGAAGCGGTCGAATGTCGGTCGGAGAGAAAAACAGAAATGGAAGAAGTGCGACAGGTAGGCGGGGTTCCCGCAGGAACAATTCGAGATGTAAATCAATGGCTGATAGGGTGGCTCTGTCCCACGGGGGAAGGAAGGTCGCCTTCGTTGGATCCCGCTCAACTAGAAAGGAGGATAGAGATCCTGAAACCGGGGAGTATAGTACCAGGGAAAGGTGGGTCTTCGTTCCACGGAAATGCCTCGTTCAAGAATTATTTATTTGCCGACTTTCAACGAAAATTTTCGCCCTTAAGTGGGTTCTGAGTTTTCCACCTCAATCCTCCATCTTGCTCCTTCCGCAGCCTTCTAATCCTCCCATTTTCTGCCCCCGTCTTAAAGTTGCGCTACAAAGGAGGCCCGTCCCATGACCGAGGATGTACGGTAAATTTGCGTGTTGGCTCAACTCGATGAAATTGCTTCGTAAAAAAAAAAAGAAGAAAAACAAAAAAAGCGTAAATCCGTGTAGCAGGAGGAAATCTGGATTTTATCGCGTTAGAAAATTTGATACGCAATTATTTTTATTTTCGTCAACTCGTTTTGCTGCTAACCGAAAAAGAAAAATTCTCGTCCTAGGCGATTGTGGACTGTATTTAGATTGAAAACGTTTTGCTCACGGTCGGTAAAGTTGCGCGACGAATTCGTTTGTAGCTTATTTCGATCGTAAGTCGAGCACAGTTAGATTCATCTTTTCAGAGTGATAAATTTCACGTGAAAGATACCCTTGGATAATCGATATCCGATACTAACGATGCCTCTGTCTAGCCAATCGGCCTACAGTCACATGATATGTATGTCATGCTACAATAGCTCGAATTGAACGATTTATTGTACAGGCCTACAAACAGCTTTGCACGCGTGACGCGTAGCTAGACATCGACAAATGTATCGATCGGTAAAAAGACGAAAAAAAAATAAAATTATCAATCATACCTTTTTTTTTTTCGTCGCAGGCAGATCGTATTTTTTTTTTTTTCACAAATAAAAACGACTCTTTACAAATTGAACACCTAGATTAGATTAATCTACATTTATATACATTATATATACATTAAGAAAAACGAGTAAAATATCTCTAGAACAGATGTGTTGTTTAACAATCATCGTGGATCACTTTGTTAGAAAATATCTGCATAAATGATATTGTTTTTGGCCGACGAAATAAATTGAAAACTCCATTTAAAAAAGATGCGAACAGCTTGTTCTTTAAAGAGTGAACAATAATCGAGGATGAAACGGTCGAGCGACTCGTGTTTCGAGCAGAGACACACGGACTGGGGAATTTCACACGGCAGTTAACGGATGGTAGATAGTAAGAGCGGCGTGCCGCTCAGATAAAACGCGAAACATTGGGGCTGACACGCAATTAGTGGCAGCGCCGACTGCAAATCGTCGTGGCGCTGCACCGCGAGATTTACCGTTCGCTCATCCCTTCTTCCTTTTCTCTTATTTTTATCCCTTCTTCCCTACTTTAATTTTCCTTGCGTCCTTCAAACACACGCAACTTCGTTCGAATGCGTTTAATTCCCTCTAAAGCGAGTCTCTCTCCGCCATCTTTATACTCGTTTCGCGTTGAACGTAAGAACAAAGGCACGTTCGTATTTCAGTTTAACCTTTTAACGTAAGCTCCTCGTAGCCGTATTTTTAAAACTTGCATCCAATTCTCGTTTTTCCCTTTTTCTTATTATTTATACACCGTAAAGCGGATCAGTGTAAGACACATATATCCGATCTGTTTAAACGTGAATATCGATTCGAAGTGGTTGACAGATCGTTTCTAAGTTGAACGTTTCGATAATTAATCACACGTTTGGACGCGTGCTACGTTATTTGATTAATTAGCCTGCTAATCTCGCTGTTTGCCAGTGCAAAGGGCATAGTTATTATTCATTTCATATGTATCCTAGTATTGTTCTTAATAGCTGCTCTAAGCAGCATTAAATTTTATATAATACGCGTCTTTTTTTTTTTCAACTAATTGAAATTCTTTACAAAAATTAAATCATGTTCGGAATTGGGATTCGTTATTAATTTCGAATAATCGATGCGGGGAAAACGAATGCGAATTGTTTTCGATATTATTTAAGAAACGAGAGATTTCTTGACAAGAAATTTGCATTGTTATTGCCATCGCCGATACCATCTGCCATTTTATTCTTTCCTTATTGATTCTTCGATCGGTTATCCCGCGGATATTGCGCGAAACAAAACACCACAAATTATTAATTATTCAAAATAATACCCATTGTGAGGATGGGAGGGAGTGGAGAAAGCAAAATGCCAATAATTAACCGACGGAGGGAATGATAAATGAAATAAACATCTCACTTACTCGATCAAGGCAACGATTGATATAATCGTATCAATCCGGGTAATTATTTATTTTAAAAGGGCGAGCAATTCGTGTCGGTACACTTTCCTCAAATTATTTATAGAATCGCGCGGCGAGCCACGCGTTCGAACCGAATCGAAACGGGTACAAATTGATTTTTCTAACCGCTTTACAGGGAATTTCAAGTTGTAGCACCGGATGGAACGAAGGAGAAAATTTTTTTTTTACGGAAAGGAAAGATAATGGATTCGAATGGAGCAACAGCGCATTATCATAGTTTAATTTTCTGTCCTTTCAACCGAGCCATCCCATCCTTCCCATCCCATTTTTCATAAAGAGGGGGAGCGCAATGGGATAAAGTTTTCGAAGCAATTCTTGTTCTACGCGCAGAGGGGGGAGAAAAAGATTTCTCTCTCGATGCAAATGGTAGTTCTACGGATTCGTAAGGTAAGAGATATCAACGATACGGTTGAAAATTTTCCTCGCTCCCTTGCTTTATTCACTGGTTGGAAAATCAAATCTCGAATTTATTTTACATCCACGGTTCATTTCATCGCGCGATCGATATCGTTGTACACAGATCGCGCGATAAAGAAACAAGGGAATAAGAAATCTTGTTTCTACCTTTTCTTTCTTTTTTTTTTTAATCGTGGCAAACGTATGAAATGGAATTACAGGAATGTATAAGTGGTGTGGTGTGGAGAAGGAAAGGAAATTTCAGGGAAGGAATCCGGTGTATCGGGTCACGCGCGATCAATGAAAATTTTATCGTCTCTCTCTCTCTTCCTTCCTTTTCGACCTTCTTCTTTCTTCGAATCTTTTTACCGCGTCGATGTCTTCGCGTTGCCGCTGTTATCGATTTACATTTTCAACGATTATTTTTATAATACAGTTTTATTTCCTCCATATATATATATATATATCGTCGTTTCTTTATCATTTTTTAAAATTTAACGTTTCGAAAATACTTATAAACGCGAAGAAAAAGATTGGAACAATAAAACGCGTTTTTATGTTACCGCGTGACTCACGGAAAAGAATATTTAAAAATATAGGGAAGGAGTGGAAGATAAAATTATCGAATTTGACGTGCGAAATGAGTTTCACGAGTTTTTACTTACCGATAACAACGTTCGTGAACGCAGTACGGATCGGTTTCTCGTACAAGTACAGTTGATTTTTTTTTTTTTTTTGGGAGGGGGATCAGTTTCAGCAATTTTTTTTTCAAATACTTTATTTTAGAGATCAAAAAAATGGGTAGGGATGTATAAAAGGAAGGAGTCAAAGTTTTGGTGATATCGTTTCATTCGATCGGCTTCGAAGGAGAGAAATTGAGAAATTGATCGATCGGGTAAGCGGATAATTTTTTTTTTTCTCTCTCTCTTTTCTTCTTTTCTTCGAAAGTAACAATAGGAAAAATTGAAAACCTTGCTCGAGTCGAAGTGCTATTTTAAATATCAAGGAACTTCTCTTCCCTTCTTTCGAATCCCTTGCCGCGTTTAAGGGCACGAATGTAATTCGCAATGCATTCGCCGTATATTTTCTCCTTTTCGATCGAAAATCTTCGCACAAAAACCGAAACTCGATTTCGTATCTTCCCAATTTCTACGTTTTTTGAAATAATCAATCGAATAATTAAATTTCTCATACGATTTCGATTCGATTCCCTTCGAGTTATTAATATCATTGCATCACGAGCAGATTAATCCTTACGCGTATTTATGCGTATCGATATAAACGATCCGCCTGATTTCGAAAATAATTCTTTTAAAAGAGAAATAATTGGTGAGAACGCGTCTTCTCTCAAGCAGGGTAATAAATAAATGTTCCAACGGATCGATATTCATATCTGCTCGAAATCAATGTCGTGAACGAGCTCGAATAGACGAATTCTTTGCCGGCAATCCGTCAAAACCTTCGCTTCAATGCACTTGCCGCGTATCGGCGATGCCCATCGCATCGCTCAACCTCGTGGGAGTTAAAATTCAGAGACGCGCTCTCTGAAAAAGAGAGAGAAGCAGAGAAAAAAGATATTCGGTAGAGAGAGAGAGATATTAAACAACGTTCGACCTCTTCTTTTTGAGCTTATATGGAGATTTAATTTTAACGAGAACGATACTGTTAATTATTTCTTTAAAAAAATGTGTACGAATGTGACTAAAATATGTAAGAAAAATTAACATTGCGTTTGATTAGTATAGAATGAAAAAAGAAAATATAAAAATAGCTTATAAATTAATCCATAAATATCAGTGGCCAAGATTAAAGAGTTCGATTGTGCCTTACTTAAATAAAACTTTTCCAAAGTTTTGCAAAGAACGAAATCACGCAAAAAATCAAAATCGACAAATCGTATGTGAATTAACTCAACTTTAAGCTTGATTTACAAAAAAAAAAAAAAATATCTATCCATAATTTATTAACGATTATTAAAATAGACGCGTCTCTCTCTCTCTCTCTCTCTCTCGTGCCGACGCAGCGCGTTGGTCTAAAAAAAAAAAAAAAAAAGACAGCACTCGCGGTGATGAATGCAGGCCCGGGTCGAATTTATCCCAACCGATCGAAATTGCTAGAAAAATAAGGGAGGTATTGAACGAAATTTCGCGAAAAAACATCGGATCTTCTTCCGGGCCGCGCGCCACGGGACATGACACCTATTGTTTTCCCGATAACGAGGATAATACGGAAATATCGTTTGTTCGTTGGAACGGTGTTTCGAGCTCCCCACACACCGCCGACAGCTCGACCAAGCACGGAGGAGGAGCGAGCGAGAGACTCGATGCTCGCGAGCCGATGTTTTTGTCCGGGCAAGCATTTCGAAACGCTTCCCGACGCTTTTATCAACCGTGAACAAACGCGATCGATCGATTCCTTCCCCCCTCCTGCCCGAGACCATCGCCTGTAATTACGTCAAACCTCTTTTTAATGCCACGATTTCACGAGAATCCAGTCCGCGAGAAGCAAGCCATCCCACGATTCTTTACGCCTCTCGCTCGACACCTGCGACTCGAACGGCGCTGCCTGTTATCTCTTTGGAGATAAGATAAGGCGAGAGAAAAAGGAAATTCGAGACGTAGTTAACGGGGGTAATAGGTTTGGGGAAACGAGTTTTTGGAGGAATGCAAGGAAGAATATATATTTAATAAAGTGCTTTGCTCCGAATTCGTTATATCGAGCAATGCACATTAAGCGGAGAAAATTCGTTTTTAAATTGTAAAAAATAATTGTTTCGATGTAATAGCGAATATATTAAAACTGTTATATATTGAAATTTTAAATCCTCTTTTTCTTTACAAATTGAACAAATTGAAAAAAGGGCAAAGAATTAATCGATAACTAATCGGTCACGTTTGAATAGTAAATTTATTAAGAAGCGTTTAAATTTCAATTTCACTGGGAGAACTGTGCAATTTATACACGATCCTTTTAAATAGACGTTCGTTGAATATCGATCGATGCTTTCTATTAGGTTGTGAAACGATTTGACCATAAGCAACGGATATATTTGATAAAGGAAAAAATTTTTTTAAACATTTACGAGTCTTTACGATATTCTCACGTTCACAACGGAATAATTATGAGTAAAATCGGATGCACGAGTTCAAAACTTTTTTAAATATTTCTCTTTTCTTTCTTTTCCTTTCGCGGGATACGCTTTTTGGAAGCCTCCCCGGATATTTTAATTCCGCCTTCCTTTCCGAGATATTTTTATTATACCACCGCGCCGCACGAAATAGAATTTCGATTTACGAAATATTGGCAGTCTCTGTCGGTTCTCCGGCACAGAGGCGCGGACAGAACCGACGTTTTTTTCGAACCGTCGTTTGAAACACCGTGGAATTGTGATCCGTGCTTTCCCTCTCCCTCTCTCTCTCTCTCCATTTTCACGCGCGTGACGAGATTACACAGCTCGCAGTCGGACGAAGTCTCCTCTCTCCTTCCTCTCCCCTCCCTGTCGTACTGTAATTTAAGGAGAAGAGGAGGAAGGAGGAGGAGGGCCGTGACGGAATAATCGCGAAATAATCGCGATCGAATAGAATAATAAAACGAGTGGAACGAAAAAGGAGGAGGGGATAAAGGTTTGATTTATTAATTATTTCGAAGCAGGAGGGGGCGTTGTTATAACGTTACTTGGGGGAGGGGCAACATTGAAAATTTAATCCAAGATGTATCCCAGCGCGAAACTTTCGTTATTTGTCTTCTTGACTCCCCGCTTCCTTTCGAGTTCTTTAAGTAACTGGCTTCGTTTAGAAGAAAGTTTGAAGGAAGCGCTCCTCGAGTGATTTAGAAGAAGGAGAAGGAAGGAGAAGAATGTTTGAGAACATTTTTCAAGTTGAGGCGGAATTGGGGGAATTTGCGCGGTTTTTGCCTCAATTTTTCATTTTCCAAGTTACGATGAACTTAATTAGATACTTTTCATCTTGCGTGTATATATATAATATATATATATATATACATATATATAAATACAATATATGTATATGCTTGTATTATATTATGTTATCCAGATGCTGTGAATATGGAAGAAAGGATCAGAGGGCGACGTAAGTTTTCCGCTTCTCCTTGCACGATAAAACAATCCTCGAGTGTAATTTTTCGAACGGTTTTCGAACAGGTGAGGAGGAAGATACAAGAACGGCCGATCGAGATGACGATGGGAAGAATGTTAAACGTATTAGCGTGAGAGGCAGGTTGAAGTATTACATCAACAGATTTAGGTACTATCATTACGTCGCCGCTGAAAAAGTGAACAAAGTAATTGGAATTGTATGCCTTGCGATAATTAAGTTGTATTTTTTCTTCATGGGATTGGACAGACATCTGACCATCGACGACGATGATGACGAGGATGCGGGCCTATGATATATCGTTCGTTCATCGAAATATACGTAACATTTCCCGAATTTTCGAAATCGTTTGTGAAATCGTTCGAAATAAAGAATATGCGCTTAAGACGAGATGATACATTTGAAGATGAAGGAAATAGGGATAAACTGTTTACGTTTATGCGAGTCGTGCCTTTCTTTTACTATTAATTTTTAAATGTTTTAAAAAGTGATCGTAAACGTGCAACGTGATATTAATTTATCGCGTACATTAAAACTTCGTTTAAAATTTTAAATCCTGTTTTTAAATGTATTAAAAAAAATAATAAAACGCGGAAAACTAATTGATATTTGATGAGTCACGTTTCAATGGATTAGGAGGCATTTCAATTTCAATTTTTATAACATTTATTTTAATTTAAATAGTAATGAATTATCGATAAGTTTTTCTTTTTTCTTTTTATTTAAATTTATCGATTCACACGATGTGATGATTTTTCCATGATTTTTTACGAAAAGTAGAAACTTTCTACATTCGCCATCTGGCGGATTCTTTGATTCATATTTATGAATTAATTTTAACCTATCTTATGTTATAATATATATATAATTATAATATTTTGGTTGGCAATTTTTTTATTCCTTTCAATTTTTGAGCAAGTATACGTCTTCTCGCTAGTGTTTCTTTCATTTTTATCTGTTCAGGCCCATATCTATCCATAACCATTTCCAATTCTCAAATTAATTAATTGCAACTTTTTTCCTACAGGTGTTTCGCTTAAGAATGTGATCAAAGAGCGACC